GAGAGTGCGAGAGAGAGAAAGAGAGAGAGAGAGAATATATGTAATCAGACGAGAGAATATGTAATCGAGTGAGAAGGCATGAATTAGTACGTATGGGAGACAGAAAGAAGGAATGCTCATTGTGAATATTTTTATTAAATTTTCAAATTTGATGACTTCCGTCTAAAAAATTAATAAATAAACATAAGCATAAGTGAAAAAATATCTTAATCATATACTCGACTGCATCGTTAATTCTTGTTCCAAAAAATTAACTACAAGAAGTTTTGATATTGCGATATCATCGACATTTTGAGAAATTCTGTGTTTAATAAATAGTCTTGATGCATTCCCTACTTCCTATTCCTGAAGCATCTACGTAATTGCGAATCTCATTTTTACGCTGAATAATGTCACGATTTCATTCATTTTGACTATTTCGATACTCTGAAAATTTGTGTAAATAGATATTGAATTGCATTTAAAGCGTCTCATGTTCTTATATCAAAAATTAAGATTTTGTTCTTTGTTTCGTACGCGAAGGATTGTTTCATAAAACGCTCGAGTGTATTCGCATATATGATACAAATCAGTCACGCTCCAATAGAAGAACTAGATCATTCAAAATCAAAGCACACGGATGTAAATAGAACATTAATTGATTATTGATAATTAAATTTAAATAAAATAAAATCTTTCATTGATAAAAGAAATAATGGAAGAATAAGTTTTACCTGTAATAGATAAAACAGAACATCCTAGTTACCCTTTGAAAAATTATGTTTATTCTGTTGAACCATCAAATGATTTATTCTGTTGAATTATCAAACAGTTTGTTCTGTTGAATCATCTAACAGTTAATATGAATGTTTCCGATGATCATTTAGGAATTTACATTATCGATGTGCTCTTGATAATTTAGAGAACCCAATTATAATTCATTATCCATAATTTCTAAACAATTAATAAAATTATTTTACTCTAATTTTGAAATTAACGACATATTTTGAGAGTATATAAAATCTCATTTCGTATTTAGCTATTTCCTTATTATAATTCAATGTAAATAAATAGATGTTTCTTTTTAACTGATCTACTGCAAAAGGTATATACATTTCATAAAAATCAAGATATTTTCTTTATATTTTATCAATTAAAATTCGGCTTAAAACGGTCTCCAAAATCAGAGTAAGAGATCGAATTTGATATTAATATCAATTTATCATGAAATATCAACAGCGATATTCGGTATAAATAGCGTTCTTTAAAGTCTACTCTACATGAAAATATCTAAACGCCAAAGCATGATACAAGCATTTAATATATCCAGTGTTATCCATCCTATTAAAAATATAATAATTTATTTATAATGGATTCGTCGCTTAAAATTCTCAAAAAATTTTGCACTTAAAACAAG